ATTTTTGTTGTTATGTTAGCATTATATTATGTTATATTATATTATGTTAGCATTAGTGACGTGTTAGGAGGCTTTTGTGTTTTTATTTTGTCAGTAACTTCTCTTTAAATAAATGAGAGAAAAATGTAGTAAATTTCATACATTTACATACATTCCTGTAAATTCAAGTTTGTAGTGAATGCAATGGCGGAATGTTTTGGGGTTTTTTTTGTCACTTTTTTATTAATATCATCTTCCTCCTCAGCTTGTATTTATTTTGTTTCAACAGAAACATGAACTCAGGTTCCAGTTCCTCAGCATAACTACGTTTTAGAAAGATTTATATTTATGTAACTTGACAAGGCTCTTGAGTAACTGGAATTTCACTCCATGACGTGAAGTCTGTGCAAATGTATTATTAATTTCCTTCTAATTTTTTAATCTTTTGGCCAATATGAGATAGAACATGCCTTGGGGGTAGCTGTCTCAAAGACGTGGTTTCATAAAGTTGCCTAAAAATATAATTCAAGTTGGAAGAAGAAACCCAAATCATTGCCACCGATGTGGGAAGGGCTGCTGTCCTTAAGTTTAACCACATTATTAAACATGATAAAATCCATGGGAGAGCGCTACAGGAAACTCTACTACTTAAATTCCATTGTGCATGGAGCAGTGCCTTTTAAATTGTGTTGGCTGGGATTTCCAACTGCAGCAGGTCCTGCTGGTTTCTTGTAAGCAAGGGAATGTGATTGGTTCTGTATGGTCTTCTCGGGTCATCACATACAAAAACTAAAATGAGTAAAATAACTGAGTGATGATTTCAAACTGAGAAATGCTAGTTATCTTAAAACTACCCAGCAGATGACAAAAGCCTTGTCATTAATTTTGAAACGGATTTTTTTCAGACCACGTTCCCAAATGTCTGGTTACAATGATGATGACTGGGGCTGATGCATCTCGCTGTTTGACAGAATAGCGTATCAAACCATCTTGTTAAATGCCAAATTAATACTTGTTTTTACTGTGCTGTAGGAACTATTACTTTTCTGGGAACATTAGCTAATGGTTTGTTGGAGTTTGGGCAAGAAGAAATTGGAGCAAGGAACAGTAGCTGCAATAGATAATCTGTGAATAACATTCCTCATCGCTTAACTTTTTCTATTAAATAATTTTTTTCATCATCAGGCCAGACAACAGAAATTCATTAAGAACCTATAATATTCTCATCTCTAGGCTTTTTTCTTTGACTACTGTTGACAAAGTAACTTTTGCTGTTATTTGGCAGTTTCCATTTGTGAATGGGTTATGCTTGAATGTTAACCAATCAGTTAACATATCCTGCTCATTCAAGACTGTTGTGTATGATGTAGTCCCCTGGGAAGCTTTTAGCACAATAACTGAATCTTTGTAGAAGACATGAGTTTGCTAGATTTTGCGTCTCTGAAGGTTAGAGTAGAAAAATATCAGGTGTTTTGTGAGCAGCTTTTGCATGTCACAGTAAATAGACCTAGAAGAAAGATGCTTATGTTCGCTGTTTTGAAATTGTCTAGTCTCTTTCCAATGCTGTCTAACATTTAGTATTATTTTAATTTTCCCATACTATTTTAAAAAAATCTGTAACTGAAAGTTCCGACACACTTCGAAGTCAGCTTGTTGCTTTTGTATCATGATCACATTATGTTGAGTAGAAATAATTTATTTGATCATCCAGTAGTCCTGCTTTTGCAACTGATATATTAGAAATTTGTTGTTGTTAAATCTGCAACAGATGGCCTTTTCTATTAACATACTGCTAAAATTTCTGTTGCTTAAAAAAAGGAGATAAGAGGAGTTCTTCCTAACTACTTAGTTCTGGGTGGAGCTATTCATGCCAATTTTTAAATGTGTTGCTATTTTTTCTTAGCGGTTACTCTGTTTTAAATCTCCATGCTTCTTTGTGGAACACTGGGTTATAACTCTAAATGAAACTTCTTAAAGTCCTATTTTACAGGTAATTCTTATTAAGTAGATGAATAGCATTTGAATTCTGAATTACTTCTTTCTGGATTTTGAAGATTAATATTGCTTTTCTAAAGACAGAAAATATTGTCTCACATGAGAATGCTTGTAACTTTTTATTGCAAAGCAGGTCAAAGAGGCGGAAGAAGGGTAGAAAGAAGATCTCTGCATCTGTGTGACAGAACTAGGTTGCTCGGAGATCTATTCAGATTTTTTGGTGTCTAGTAAAACTAGCTATTTTTATTAAGGCGCCTAGACAATAGCTAAAATTATTACATGCTATGAAATTGAACAGAAATTTCAGTAAACTTTTTCCAGTTATGGAAGAATATGTATATGTTTCAGTTTTTCCTCAAGGCTTTAACTAAAGTATTATAACTGCTCTGCATGCTTTGGGGATGTCTTGCAGTTTTACAGTCCTTGTATGTACTAAACGCTGTCTCAGGTGACTACTCAGCTCAGAAAATGTTTTTTCATTTAGAAAAAGGTCAAAGGTCAGTCCTCGAAAGGAAACATATAAATTCTAAGTCAATCCTAAAATCCTGCCAACTAGCAAAACATTAACATGCCCAATCTAGTCTTTAGCCCATTTCTACTTTTACCGCTGGAACAACTTTCCTTTGTGTGAGTGACTTTGTTTAACGAATTTTATGTGACAAAATATTAAATAAGATGACTTAAAATGAAGTATTTTAGAATTTTATACGCATCTTTCTTTAATACAAGGCAGTAAACGTTCAGAGGTCATCAAACACTTCAATCATTTCATGTGTAGTTAATATTAGGAATAGACATGAGAGTTCAGGTTGGGAATAGGAAGAATGGAAGCCCAAAGATTTTACTACCAGAGGAGAAGGGGTATAAATTAAAAATGTCATGAAGGAAGACTGTTAATTAATTAGGAAATAAACCTTTCTAGATGATAGGAAATCTAGAAGATTGGTATGTATTATACAAAAGTGGGAAAGTATAATGAAGACACTTACAGAAAAGTTAGAGCTATAAAACGAAGAAAAACAGTATTTTCATGTTCCATTTGTAAGGGAGAGATAAAGAGGTACTTTTAAACTTGAAGGATTTTGTTTAAAAAAAAGAAATTTAAACGTTACAAGATTTAAAAAGTCATCTTTTCATTTTTAAAAAAGAAAATATTTATGAAACTTTTGGTTCTTTCTGGGTAATATATATTTACATGTGCATGCATTAAAAACATTATTGGTTTCAAAGTCACAAATTTTGCAGTAAGACGTATTTTTATCAAGATTATGATCATGCTAAGCTTCATGTATGCTTATGTCACTTTAAAAGAAACACTAAGTCATTTTAGTCAAACCTTTTTGAATTCTAAAAGTTAGGGTAAATCAAGTGTATGTAAAAATAAAATTAGATTGTTATTAGCCAATGTGGTCAATTGAATTGATAAAATTTCTGTGAGCTATTAATAATAATTGTGATGGTTGGAACTATTTAAAAAAAAAAAAAAAAGCTAAAATTTACATTTTAATTTTAACTCTTATCATGTAGCAAGTAATTATGAAAATTGTTACAATTGTTGTCAGATATCAGCATTCATTGTTTCTAGTGGTAACATGTAAACTGAAGTTCTTAGTTTTTCTTTCCCATAGAAGTGTACCCAGGGCCGGGCAGCAGAGAGCCTGAGTGCATAGTCCCACCAGGCCCTATACTTTCCTTTTCAATAAGGTTCAAGGTCTGCTAGCAGATCTCATACCGAGCCACCCACATGCACACACTCACGTGGGTCTCTCCTGGCCCCTAGACCTTTGACCTCTGGTACCCACCTCAGACACCACTTGTCCAACTTGCTGGCTAGTACAGCCTGAAGTTCGCAGGAAGGTTACACGAGCGTACTTACGTAGGTCTATGCAGTATCTGAGCTCAGACCTGTCGTCTCTCGGGTAGATAGCCTTCAGACCCGTGGTCTCTCCAGTATTCAGCTGCCAGGTCTTTCTTGTCCCACATACCAGCTTCTCCTGTCGCAAGTTCACCAGCAGGTTTAAAAACACGTCCCCTCATACACACAATAGAGAACTTAATCACTCGGAAGATTTTTAGAAACAGAATTTAGTGAGGAGATGAGACAGGCTACAGCCATCACGTGCAGAAGTTGGCCCGGCAAATGTATTGACCGGGAGCCTGCTTACTTGCAAGTGTCCTGTTTAATCTCATTCCTTCTTTATTTTCTCATGCTTATTCCTCCTGGATTCATCTTGATCTGTCCCCTCCTTTGGCTCTTCACATAAACAACCCATTAAAAATTCAATGTTTACTTAAAAAGAACTTAATTCCATGAGAAGTTTCACAGATCCCAACAATTCCCCTCCTCCCCAGCATGCCATAGCAAGTTCGCTCTTTCTCATGAGATCCATGATAATCTTGTTTTTCTTCTCATCAGTTAGGGTTCTGGTTGAATCTCTTGAAGGTAATACATAAGCACTTCCTGTTATGGCTCATTGATCAGGGTCTCCAGAGTTCTGGGCTTTGTTACTACACCCATTATCTACGGTTTGTCAGCTGTGATCATTTTATGACTTCTGTTTCTTGCCTTTGTCTTTTATGCTGAATAGCTGTTAACAAGTTATTTTTACAGAAAGTTTCAATTCAAATTAAAAGTATTCCTTTTTTCTCCTCATTTTTCTCTCTCTTCCTTTCTCCATGTTGGAATTCTATTTTTCTGTCTTAAATGGCTGTTATTCAGGTGAGTCATTGATGTCCATAGGGAGAAATGAGTAACCTCCTGGAAATTTATGCCCGGCTTTTCTCATATTGGTAGGTGGTTTGGTTCTAAGTACAGCCCAAAGTAGTCTATGTTTTCCAATAACTAGGAATTACAGTTCAAATGGCTCTGCTAAATTTTCTGTGTACCATTGAATTTCTGTATCACAAAGGTAAATACTGCATACTTTTCTAAAGAATACTGTTGATTTATCAGTCAGGGTCTGAAACACTATTTCTAAAATATGTTTGTGTGAAATATGTTAATAATTGAAATAATTTTTTTCTTTGTAGAACCAAAATTGCAATTTCAGCCACCACATCAAGTACAGCACAAAGTTATGAATACAGAACAGAATGGCATCAAAGAGAATCATTCAAGACACATTTCTCGCAATGACATGAGACAACCAAGGAATGAGAAACCCCCTCGTTTTCAAAGGGATATTCAAAATTCAAGGCAGGCTTTGGAAAGTGGTGGGTTACCAAGAAACAGAGGTCCTGAAAGGCACAGCTCTTTAGAACATTGGACAGATGAAAAAAATAAAAGTGACAGACATTATACTAGAAATGATAGGCCAAAGGATTTGGGTTATCCCATAGCCGTTCACCAGAGTGATATTACTTTCAAAAAAAGGGATAACAATATGCAAAACAGAGTAGGAAAAGGGGTGTCTTTCACAGAATTCAAGGAGAACTCTGCTGCTCAAGATACTACAGACAACAATAACCAGAAACGTGGGAAAAGGGAAAACCAAATACATAATTCTGAAAATTTTTGTGATAGGAAGGCACGAACAATAAGTAGTGAAGCCTTTATGGTAAAAAGTGAGCAACATTTTAGTGTTAATAACGATTACCAAAATCCTGGTAGAACTGATAGTTTTAATGCTGTACCAAATGGAGATACTGAGCATCATCAGAAAGGAAGACGAGTAGGACCTATCAAATCATCAGGACCCACTACGATCCCATCTTTTGATGATAAAATGTTGTATTACAACACCGGTCCCAAAAGGAGATCTGGGCCCATCAAACCAGAGAAAATATTAGAACCATCGATTCACATGGAGTATGGAAAAAGTTGGAGACCAGGGGATGAATGTTTTGCCCTTTATTGGGAAGACAACAAGGTATGCCTTTGCCACATGAGAAGTACTTCAAATTGTACCTTTAATGTTTTCTTACATAATGTGGGAGATTTAGCACACTAGCACAGAGGCACGGGGCTTTGTTCATAGGTGTGTAGTGTGCTTCTTGGCTAGCTTCTTGGTTGTTTTTTTTTTTATTTGTGAGATATGTCGCTTGTATTCATTGTGTGAAACTTGAAGCGCTTAAATTAAGTCATCTTGAAGGTGATTGTTTCTCTCATTTAGGTGGAGTTTAGGATGACTAAGCTGCTAACTGAAGCATTTGACTTAAGTTCTGAAAATTTGAAGGGATGAATATGGATCTAGGTGCCCATGTTCTTTTCCAAGGAACAAGAAATAGGATGCTCTGCTGTCTAGAATAGTCTGTAATGGTAGATGTGTAATGCCTTTTTCTGGAATAAGTTAGCGTGCAACCTTTACTAGCGCAAGGGAAGACCAGAATCTGCAGGAACAGGGCTGTTTAAAAAAACCTCCCTCTCTTATTTCAATCATCACAGAAAGGAAACAGCAAAAGGCTTTTTTTTTATTATCACTAGTAGACTTTTAGCTGAGGAATTTGTGGACCAAATGAGTTACGCTGCATGATAGTTTTGCTTTACTGATTTTTAAAAGTTTAAATACTTCCTCTTCACCTTTTTCCTATTAGTAAGATTTCTCTTGCGGTAAGACACTTTCCTTTCATCATCTCCTCCTTTGCTAAAAAAATTTTAGGCTATTTTCTTTGATTTGTTATTATCTGTTCAGCAGTTCTCTGTCACTCTTCTTGGGTAGTTTCTTCAGTTTTTGGCTCTTTCTGATAATCGGAGAAGAGAACTACCTTAAATATTATTGTTCTTTGGATAGGTTTTATTCCCACCATTCTCTGTCTTTTTTCTTTTTTGTTTATTTTATGTTATTTATTTAAAGTTTTTTCCTTTTTTTGGCTTTTTTACAGGAAGTAGGTAGTGTTAGCTCAGCAGCATGACTTCATTTTTCTATCTTTTGTTTGTATGACTAAAACAGATGATAAGGCATGCAAAATTTTTGGTAGTGGCAACATGTAGTGAGTTGACTCTCTGAAATAGGAATATGTAGCTTGGGTGGATGGATTAGTGTGAAATATAATGGCATATTATGGAATTGTTTCCTATTTTGAGAAGCATATTTGCATTACTGAGATGAGTTTTTGAAATTCTGGAAAGTATGAAACTTGCAAAATAAGTAGATATAAGGTAATCCCAGACTGTTACCTGAAAAGTATGCATCACATTAGAAGGGGGGTTTTTGAGGGTTATTGGTTTTTTGGTAGTTATAATAAATGCTGCTGCTCACATCTAGGACAATTTTGAAATGTGATGATAAAATACAGCACTGAGCTTAACCATGTTAGGAGGCAGTGATTTCTTTGTGTTCAATAAGTTAAAAGTGATTGAATATCTTCAAGAAAGCTGATCTCTGTTTGTATACATGTCAAAAAATTAAGTTTTGTGTTTAGGAAAAGGACTTCTTGAAGGGGCAGTTTTATCATATTTTTATCATTTTTTAAAATATGTATATATTAGTATATACAGTGTATATGGCTGATGGGCACTTACTGATACATGTATTTTAAGAACAAGTCTTACAGTAACACTTCTCTGTATACAATAGCATTTGTGTTAGTGATAAATTTGTTCTGCTTTCAGAGAAATGAAAACAAGTCTTTTAAATGTTCAGTCTAATTTCATAAGCTGCATACTTTCTCAATGAGTATTCTAAATACATTCTACCGTGTCCTTGCAGTCTACCATGTGGAAGTTTAATACATCTGGTTTAATAACTGGTACAAATCTTACTCAAAATATAATGCTGACTAAGACTAAATATATATATATACACACACGCATGTATATATGAAAAGGTAATTGTTAAGCTGTGTGTGGTATTTCAGGTAGTATTTTATGACCTTTGAAAATTTCTCTTTTAAGTTCTACCGGGCAGAAATTGAAGCTCTCCATTCTTCTGGGACAACTGCAGTTGTTAAATTCTGTGATTATGGAAATTACGAAGAGGTGCTTCTCAGCAACATCAGGCCTGTTCATGCAGACACATGGGTATGTGATAACAAATTGTATTAAAAAATATAAACTACATAGTCTGTACAAAATATGTAACCCTTCAGAAATTAATGCCTACTCATGCAAAGAGTGCTAATTACATGTGTAGAAAAATAGTTAAGTGAATACACGAACAAAATCTCAACTTCTAGTTGTCTATATGAAACTTCATAAAAGTGTATTATCATGTGGTATTCTTTCTGTATAATAAATTTCAATTGTATTGTTTGAAAATGAATTACTGACCTGTCAGCCAAACAGTTTTATGCATATTTTCTCTCTAAAACTTGTTGCTTACTCTATTAAACACAGATTTCTGTTTTATTTCATGTACATTGTATGTTGTTCTGTAAAGGTTAGGAAACAGTCTTTTAAAATACATATTCTGAAGGTTTTTACTACGTGTGTATGTATGGCTAAAAATAGACATCTGTATCACCTTATTTTGTGTCATGATTTTATTCTTGTTTCAATGATTTCTGCTTTGCCAAATACTGTGGTGGAGGTGTATGCCTCAAAATCTGTTTTATGAGGTTTAGAATGTATTAGCCTTACGGAAGTTGGAAATTTCAAAAGGCTTTATTTGTGAATGTCATGGAAATAGAAGTACCTTTTGATTTTAAAAAAAAAATGTCAGGAGTGCACAATTCTTTGCTGTTTACTCTTACTATAGAAAGCTGCACAAAAAATATTCATATTTGTATATTGATTCCTTAATGACTTGTGCTTATTTTCATTTCTTACCTCTGGGTCATATAGCTGTATTAGTACAGCTGCAGAGGCTGAACTTTTAACTACTGTTTCCTGCCAGTGGTCTTTTAACTTGTGTTCTTGCTGTAGCTCTCAGATGCCCTTACGGCCTCTGAGATGGCCTTTTTGTACTTAAAAAGATATCTGAAGCTCTTCCCAGCTGATGCATTGCTGTTTCTATGAAAATTTACCTTTTTTTTTTTCTCCTTCTTTTTATCCCAATAGCTGAACTGTAAGGTCCTAGTTTTTTATGTATGATTGTACTTATTTGGACCCTTTTTCTGGGTTAATAATCAGCCTTTTCTTCACACTTTTGGTTACAATCTTGAGGAATGGCTTTTATTTTACTTTAAGTCTCTGAAAGTTAGCTCTTACAGTCTAAGAACTTGAGCTGGTGTTAAGACTAAGTTGATCTACTAGTGAGGTGCAACCTGGAGCAGTGGTCCTTCTTCCTGCCTCTTCTGCCTATCTCTGACCACATGTTCCTCCTGTTCCCTCTCCTCCCATGTTGGATCATCAGTGGTGTAGCGACAGGATGAGTCGAATGACATGGACCACTTCCCCCCCCCACAGTTTCATTTGTTTTATTTCAGAGTTAGTTTGTTAAAGCTGACACAAGATGGTGGGACAAGGTATGGAGGGTGGTTTCTGCCACTGAAGTAGCATAGTCCTAACATCATGCTGCATCCTGATCTAGTCATTGAGACTTCCTCAGTTGTTACTGGGGAGAAATAAGGATTCTCCAAGGACCTTTCAGTCCATTCAGAAATGAAAGATACCTTTCTCAAGGTTCTTTTTTCTCTCAAGGGAGCCTAGCTGAATAGCATAAATTCAAACAACTAAACTTAGATCATTATAGTTATATAAGATAGATGCCAATCAACATCTTCACAGCTAACAAAATTTTTATGGTTTCTTTCCGAGGTTTTACTGTTTTGTTGCTAAAAGGTCCTTGCAGCTATAGGATTTTTGCAGGAGAAAGTTGATTAGCACCTTGCTCTTTGCTTTTTCGTGTTTGGATGCTAACTGTAGTCCTCATTATGCATTTGCAGTTCTTAATCACCTATTGGAGGCATGCTCCAATACTCAGGTTTGTCTTTTAAGCTGAACACTGTTGGTCACTTTTCTTTGTCTCAGTGTTCATATTAATATATAAATCTAGACAGCACACACAAATGCAAAATGAGGTTCTCGTGCTGCTTAATACTTAATTCTTTGTCGTAAGATTTAAGTTACTGTGATATTTTCTCTTTACAAGAGAACAGAACAGATTTTAAACTGACTTCAATAATTACTTTTTTTTCACTGATCGATGGAAGCAGCAACAATGACCTTGTTTTATTAGAAGTGTTAGGCTGAGTTTTATTGCAGTCCTTCCAGGTAGCTTCCAGATAGCTAAGTCTTCCTTAGCTGTCTCTACTGGAGAGTTGTTACTAACGTAGAAATATACTGTATGTGAGTTCTGATGTCCTAATATTGCCAGTTTTTCAGAATCCTTTTTGAAAGAGTTGTTGATATTAAGAAAAGATATAATGAATTGACTTAAAGGCATAAATTTAGTCTATGTGTTAGAATTGATTACTCTTTACTGTTTTCTCCAGCACACTTTTTGATACTCATGTGTTGAATTTAATTTTTTTTTTCAAAAAACAAAAAAAAAACAAACAAAAAAAACCCAAAAACCACCTGGTGAAAGTATACCACTGGGAGGAGGAGGAAGAAGAAGAAGAAAAAAAAAAAAAAGAAAAGCAAAAAGTTGGTCCTCTAGTCACTTGAAAAAACAGCCAAAATATCACAGTGACCTTATTTGATGACATGACCTGTTGTTCAAGCACTTGAGCTTCTGGTCTACTTTTGGAAACCTTTATAATTATAAAAAATAGTAAAACAATGAAAATTCTTTATGTTGTTAGTAGGCTTAATATAATTTCATTTTCGCTTCACGCCCTGCTGGTTA